CTTAGCTTTTACTAAGAATCATGACCTATAAACAAGTAATCAAATGTTCAGTAGTATTTTTAATTAGTACCGCTGACAAATGTTGAAGACACTCCTTCAAAGGTGATCATGTTGAATGACGTTTTTACGAATAACAACAAACAGTTATGTAGTATTATTTGTTTTAACCTTTCAACCAAGTCGTTGTAGTATAGTGGTGAGTATTCCCGCCTGTCACGCGGGCGACCCGGGTTCGATCCCCGGCAACGGCGATTTTTATTGTATCTTTGTTTTTTACCGAAACTGCAAGTACCTTTCCATGGCGGGAAATCCACGCAAACGGAAAAACAAATCTCAAAAGTTTCCTTCAATTTTTATTTGAACCTCCAAAGCAATCGTCAGTTCCAAAACCCAAGAATGTTTCCGCTGAAATTCCTCTTTTCTCCTCCACGTCCCTCCGCCCCATCTCCGCCGACATCCTCCGTCCACCGCCACATGATCGGTACCACCACCACCACGTGATGGCACTAGACGGGATAGTCAACGTCAACTCACTGTTCACCTTCGCTTTATTCCTTGGCCTTACATGGTACCCCACCCCCACCCTCATAGACTCCGCCAGCTCCCCTGCCTGCGCGGCTGCCTCCAACGTCGCCGAGAACCTCATTGCATGCCACGTGTACTCCTTCAGCTCTTTCCTCTTCTCTAGCCTGATTGCATCAGCCATCAAACAAGCCATAAAAATAAGCAAAGATAGCAAGGAAGTGACAGAGAATGGAGTTAGCGCCAGTGCTGTGGATGTGAACTTGATTGCTTTAAGGGTTGGGACGTTGGTTTCAGGTTTTGGTTCGATTTTTGGATATGGGGTTTTTGACGATGGCTTTGATAGCTATGGTTCAGATTAAGTTGGGGACTTGAGTTGTGGGAGTCTTTACAGTTTTGCTGCCATTGGTCCTTTGGTAGTTTTGGTTCCTTTGGCTCTTGGTGTCTATGTTTGTATTGTTTTTTATGCCTTCACTCGCTAGAAATAATGGATGTATAAACATTATGGAATTCTTTGTCCCTCATTTAGATTCTCAAGAGTTTTGCTACTAATAAAACATTTCAGCCTTAAATTTCACTTTTACTTAGAACATGGAAATTCAACTACTTTGAATTATATCTAAACTACATGCATATGTGTCTCTGATGTGTCTTACAAATTTATTTCACAGTTTGACACTCAACTCATTAGACGATCTAGTGGCTTAGGAGCATAATTTGGTAGGTTTGCAGTGTTGAATATTTTAATTGATTGTGTTGGGACTTGGGGTTTTCTTATATTAAATGCTGTGATTGAGCAGTTGGCAATGCAACATTTCCAGATCCCCTTTTTGTTTATAGAAATAATAGGACTTATAAACTAGGATAATAGGTTAAACTAACCCATCGAGACTCGAGTCAATGAATTTTTCAATGATAACTTGCTATTGCTAAAGCTGATTTATTTACTCTTGAAAAGGCAGTCCATTGGAAATGGCTCATTTCCTGGATTTTGCTTCTCTTATGCAAGTAAAGACCATGTGCTAGTAACTTGAATCAGAAACTATTTAGTATAATAACTTGTCAAAACTGATCCCCAGGTATTTTAGACTCATGTTCTGAATCTTGATTCAAAGGTTTTGCTAAGGAAAATATGTTTAAAGTTTTCATGTGATCCAAATAAGTCTGAGTTTCATGGCAAGGGAGCAGATTACTACTATCTTCAGGTTCCATTATTTCTGCGGAATAATTGCAATCCTTTCTGCATTTTCTTTCATCTCAATCTTTTATTGGTGTCACTTTTCCAGCAATTGCTATTCCATAAACCAAATAATGATGCAAAAGCCAAAGGAAGACATTGATCTACTAACATTCCCTTCTGCCTGGAATCTTCTTTCTTTCCCTTCTGACCCTCCTCCTAAAATCCTTAAAATTGCCCTTTTTGTCAAGAAATGGCCTCATCGATCACATGCAGGAGGACTTGAACGGCATGCCTTGACTCTACATCTTGCCCTTGCGAAAAGGGGTCATGAGCTGCACATTTTCACTACTTCCTCTCCAAATTCCTCTTTTCCAAGATATCCAATTAGCAATTTAATTTTTCACCTTTCAAAGCCAACAGCTGCTGGTTATCTGGAGCAGGCCGTGGTCTGGAAGCAATTTCAAACTCAAAACTCAACTGGAAGACCATTTGATGTGGTCCACACAGAAAGCGTTGGACTTTTGCATACTCGAGCAAAGAACCTGACAAATCTAGCTGTTACTTGGCATGGAATTGCATATGAAACCATTCATTCTGATATCATTCAAGAGCTTCTGCGGACTCCTGAAGAACAACAGGCTTACGTGCTGACTGAAAGAGCTATGAAAGTTGTTGAAGAGGTGAGGTTTTTTCCTAGATATTCTCACCATGTTGCTACAAGTGATCATGCTGGAGATGTCCTGAAAAGGATTTACATGATCCCAGAAGAACGAGTCCACATCATTCTTAATGGAGTAGATGAAGAGACTTTCAAACCTGATTTCTTGCAAGGAAATGATTTTAAAGAGAAGTTTGGAATCTTAAAAAGTAGATCTTTGATATTGGGGAATCGCTGGGAGGCTGGTGAAAGACAAAGGGCACCCTTTGATTTTTGAAGCTTTGAAGCAAATATTTATGGAAAACAAACAAATTCCGAGAAGGTATTGTTGTTCTTGTTGCTGGTGATGGTCCTTGGGGTGCTAGATACAGAGATCTTGGGGCAAATATACTTGTTTTAGGTTCATTGGAACAAGCTCAATTAGCAAGGTTTATAATGCAATAGATATTTTTGTGAATCCAACTTTCCGAGCTCAAGGATTGGATCATACTTTGTTAGAAGCAATGCTCACTGGGAAACCAGTAATGGCTACAAGACTTGCCAGCATCACAGGGTCGGTAATCGTCGGACCAGAAGTGGGTTACACTTTCTCACCTAGTGTGGGATCCTTAAAGAAGGCTCTCTATAGGGTTTGGAATGATGGCAGAGAGGTTTTGGAGAAGAAAGGCAAGGCTGCTAGACAAAGAGGGTTGCAGTTGTTCACCGCCACCAAAATGACAACTGCATATGAAGACTATTTCTCTGCATGTCAAGGGAAGAATATTGTAAATACCAAAATCCAATTAATTAACATAGCAATGTTGGTCACAGCAAGTGGTGCAAGAATCAATAATATTCTCGTTAATGTTGCATCTCTTTTAAGACTTGGTGGATTTCTTTGATCGCTACCTCATTGATAGTCATGACCGTCCTGAGACCAGGGGAAGAGTTGTACAACAAATCTTTCTGCAATTGCGGCAGCAGGCGAGGTAATTAACAAAGTTCCTGTCAAAAGTCACCTTAAGTCAAGAAAGTTGAACAGAACCAAACTGCTTCATTGCCTGAAGGCTGTTATAGCCAAGGGTTACCAGGATGAAGACAATAGTATCACTGATCATTCCAGGTGCCGATTCTTAATGGTCACTGACATGGAGGTAATTTACATATTTTAAGGAAAACTTTTCAATCAAATTCTTCTGGTTTTTGAATTTAATGGCTATAATCTCTTTCAGCTAGACACATACAAAGATCACATGGCATGTTCATAGCATGGTTACTTTTGGCAGCCACATGTTGTGGATCTATAAATTCTTGGTAAATTTTGGCAAGAAATGCAAGTGGGATGGTATGCAACGTGCGTTACATATTTATTTGCAAACATCTTTAAGAAAAATGGGATATCTCATATCTGCACTTGGAACCATGTGCTTTTGCATCCAGACACGGTCAGTAAAATTATAGCAGTGGAAATAGCTTTCTTGCTCACTGCCACTGGAAGTTCTGTTGATATTCTATTTACACTGCACTTATCTTGCTTTTAATTTTTTTTAATCCTTGAAAGGGGAATCCTTATGTATGATAGTGGAAAAGGATATTGCTTGTATTTTAACTTTTGTTGTGCAACTTTCATACATAGCAAAGACATGGCATTTTCGATACAGAATCTCAAGCATCGATAATGACATTTAAAAAGGAAAGCCTAAATTATCTATCATTTGTCAGCCCTTTCACACATCAGGGGGGAGTGAGAACATCTAAACATATTCCACTCTCCTCAGCCAAAGAAAACTTGTCCAAGAGCAGAGTATATGATGTAGTGGAGGACTTCTCAACCTTCATTTCCTGATAAAATCATGAAAAATATATCATATTACAGAATCCAAAGTAGGCTTTGTCCATGTCACAAATTTGTTTATAATTCATGTCTTCCATGATTATTTGCTTGCTTTATGAATTCCTGCAAATGCCGAGATTAACAAAGAGTATATAAGAAACCGAACTGAAATCTTCAGAAGTTTGTTCATAGAAATATAGCAGATGCTATAACTCTTGTCTTGGGATAAACAAGTGCACATTTTCTTCGCCATGCAGATATCATAAGTTTGATCATTTTTATATTTGATAGTTTCTTGGTTCATATGGAACAATGCAATTTGGTTTCAGAAACTGTATAGGTATTGCAGTGAAAGGGTTTGGTTAAGAAAGAAAAGTAGTAAAGTTTTGTAAATGAAATACCTTGGAAAACTGATGGAGAATTCATATGCATTGGAAGGCTAGGCTCTAATAATAAAGCGAACCTGCAGAAATCCAAGTCAAGTTTTGAGATACTGGTATAGTCTGAATTCATAGTTGCATTAATTATCCATTTGAAGCTTCATCTAGAATATCAGTACCTTGCCACCAATTACCTCTAGAAGCATCCTGTGAATTGTTTCCATTTGGGTCATCTTCTCCTCCATCTTTCTTAAACTATTCATTCACAAAATATATAGAACAATTACTTTCATACATCTAGCAGAAAGTAGTTTTGTATCAGAGTCGACCAGTCAAGACTCACAATAGGATATGATGTAGAAGTTTGGCTACTCGAGGAATGCGAATATATGTCTTGGCCACCATAGTAAAGGGATGAACTTAAATGGCATGGTTCCACCCTTTCTTCTGAAAAACAGAGTTCCTCTCCTTGTTTGGTATGTTATAGGTTGCACCCCCCGGCAAGTGGAGCTACATTATATGAGCAAAACAAGAAAAAAACAAACTAATCAGACAATATTATCAGGACACTAGTTTTACATTGTCAAGTAAGAAGTAGTAAATTTTTCACAAAATGAGGACAATAATTTTGAAAAAATGGGGGAAATCAATATTAACAGTCCATGAACACTTCTTCAAAGGAAGCAGTGCAAAGAACAATTGATAATAGGTCCTCAGATGACTCTTACTGAATACAGAAAAATTCTGAGGATATGCTCCTATTGACACAAAAGTACTTGAGTTGACAAGCAAATAGACTTGGAATTTGTTTCCTGCACAATTCAAGCAATATGGAAGGTCTTCACCTAAGGGCCTGAGGGAAGAAATGAAACTGAAATTATAAGAAAACAAAATATTCTGATCAACAACCTTGCATTCCATGTCTCCAAGCTGAACCTTCTGGCTGTTTTGGCCAAGATTCTAAAACCTTAGAGCCCGAGGCGTTTCTCCCTGCCACCTGAAATTTCAAATAAAGAAAGTTCCCTATCAGATTATAAATCTGATTAAAGAAATTAGTCCACAGTTTCTACTTGTGTTCCAGAACAAAAGATTTAGTAATGAGCAGAATGAAGAGATCTAATAAATACATAGGAAACAGTCAATCCATCATCAAACCAGAACTGGCACTTTCAGCCTTTGATTGAATTTCTAAAATACAAAAGCTGTTGGATATGGGACTTTTCACTTTTCAGCTTCAGGTTAAAGAGTTCTGATTTATATTTTAAAAGTCATATTTCAGAAAAAGGAAAAATACTAGAGCATGTCAAACACTATAAAAAGTTCATACTCTATTTAGACAAAACTAGTGGTATAAAAATTGAATTAAAACATCAGATATGAACTAAAGTATGTCTTTGGCCAAAAAAAAAATAATGAAGTATGTCCAATCAGCAGAATCCAATATATAAAAAGAGAAGCAAGAAAGGAGCTGAAAAAATTAAACCAGAAGAAATGCAGTCCCCAATATAAAAACAGGTATATAACCATGGATGGACGGTGGAAAAATGGAAACTAAAACACCTTTTGAATGGTGATGATGGATGATGATGGTTCCCTTGGAGCCAAAAAGATCAGCAGTAAATGAGGAAGAAGAATCAACTTGTCTCTTATCCTCCATTTCCTTTTTCTTCTTTGGTCAACAACTAACTCACGATTCTATGTACTAAACACCTTTCAAGAAAGACTAACCCAGTTAAAAAAGAAAAAAAACAGATAAGATTTGCAGAGAAGATACAAAGGGAAACAGGAGTGCTCGTGAAGATCACAGTAGCAATGGGAGGATGTATCTAAACTGTCTCAACAACCATCAAATATATACGCAAATTTAATTGCCATTGGTAGATGCAGCATATGTGCCCATCATCAACAACAAAAAAGGTGCCCTATGAAATATTTTATGGTAATAATTTTCTCTCTTTTCTCTCTTTTCCTTTTAAAATCAAAGATAATTTGAAGAAAAATTTCTCTGCAGTTTCCTCTCATTCACATTTGGTTCCCTGCATATAATACACTCTTACTTCTTTTTCAACTAAACATAACGGATAAGCGCCACGGGGGGTCCACTTGGCATCCCAAGTGGCGCGCCATTCAGTGCCATCTGTCCTCTAATGGATAAATGCAGCTTCTCTTGGATCTATAGGGTCAAAAAAAAAAAAAAAAAAAAAGAAACTCGAGTTAACTATTTTTCTTGACCTTTGGCTAATGACCCTTCATGGGAATGATTTTCTTTGGGATATAGCTTCAAGAGGGTTTGAGTGAAAGAGATCCCACAACAAGATAACTAGATAAGGTGGTTTCCCCACTCAACATTTTTTTTTCTTTTCTTTTATGTGCCGTTAATAGTTGACCTTAATTATTGTCTTTCAAATACCCAAGTTGATACTAAAATACCATGAAAATGATACCATTTATATTATACCTGAAGCTACCTAGCTGATCATACTGTCTATATTTTGTCATGAAGAAGATACTAAAATGCATCATCGAATACCCTTTGGCCTTTACCCTGATCTTCTGCTTTCCTTTTTTGCTGTCTGACACTAAATGGGTTCACTGAAGAGAAATTGAGAAATGGTTGAGTTTTTCCATCAGAAATAAACACTCTCCTACCCACATTTCAACTTATCCAAATCCCATTGCTTTTCGAGGAATGGGTTTCCAATTGGGGTTTGCTATCATGTGAGGTGGAGCAAATTGGAGTGTCAGCTCACCCAATCGAATAGTTTGACTAAATTTTCCTGGCAAATATCCTAGGATAATGTTGTGGTCATTTTCACATGATGGTTTCGTCTTGGGAAATTATGGTTGAGAAAGCATGCTGTGATTTTGCTTGATAAGAGCTTGAATCTTTCTTAGGTCTCATCATGTTGAAAAGGATCGTGTCATCACTCATTTGTCCTATCTCTTGCTACATGTTTGAACTCCATCGATTTTTTTGGAATCCATCCGTCCATGCACTATATATCCAATTTGTGAAATGCTGAGTTGTGAGATAATACTAAGTAAAATCAAGATGAAAATTGATCCTAATCAGTTCACCAATATTGAGCAACATTCGTGCGCCTTGTTAGGGAATCCATAATAGTAGCAGTAGCTTGAAACAAACTACTTTTTAACATGTTGAAGGTTTAAAATAATAGTTTCAGAATCATATCCTCCTTTTCCTTTATTTCTTTTCTTGATATTCCTAAAAACGAAAGTCCATAAATAGAAAACAAAGCTATATGTCCAGAGATATGTGACTACAATACATGGTCAAATTTGGGAAATTCTGTGGATATGTTTGATTTTAATAAATAAATAAATAAAAAAAGAAAAGAAAACAACAACAACAACACTATACTTATAGTATAAAAAGGAAAAGCGTGGGCGGCAGGATTCGAACCTGCGCGGGCAAAGCCCACATGATTTCTAGTCATGCCCGATAACCACTCCGGCACGCCCACTTTGTTGTTTAGTGCGTCATCATGAACCTAATAAATCCATTTTAATGAAATACCATGCCCCCAGAACCATTTATCACCTTTTTTCTGCATTCTTTTCCCTTCTTTCAAGATAATAATGAATTCGTTAAATTAAGAATACATTTTTATACAAAGTTTTAAGTCTTTTATTTAATTTACAGCAATACCAGGATTTTATGGTCATTAATTGGCAGTAATAAGATGCTGAAAGGGCATCATTGTTTAAGCAACATGCTAGGGAAATGGTGGTAAAAAGAAAGAGCCAATATCAAGCAATCTTACCTATTATCTTCCCTGTGCAACCTCACATACATCACGGACAAATTTAGACCGTGGAACAAGCTCTAAGAATCAGGTAAAACTAGTTTTATGTGAGTGAGTAAGGTACATTACAGTTCTAAGTTGAAAGAACTCCTCATTAACATGGGCAAATGCCAACTATTCAAGCTCTGAACAGGAAGATTATCCGCAATATAGGATCTTCTCCAATGGAATAGCTCATTCTTGCTTCCTCTTTAAGGTACATTGCTGTCTTACGCTGTCAGTTTCTATCACTCCTACATGAATGAGATCAATCATTTGAAACCCTGAAATAATGAAGTTTGAATTAAAGAAGGAAATAAATTTCATAAAGTAAATGAGTGCAATTCATTCTTGTGCAAGTTTTGATCTATATCCCTTTATTTGTCAAATGAAAAACTGCATTACTAGTTCTTTTTCAAATGATTACAAGCATCAAGTAATCAATTTATAACATTTAACGAACAAAACCATGAATGAAACATCAGAATTCACAAGTTTTGGTTCTAACAGAAACAGATATAGATCAAGATGATCCTTAAAAATCCATGCAGCCAAGCGCTAGGACACAGTGTCATCATAATAGAAAGATTGGCCTAATAATACATTTGAGTGCACAAGAAGCAATGGTTCAACAGAGGTGATGGTTGATGCCAAACCCTGGTAAGTTCAAGTTGATAATTTCAGAATTGACTTGGTTAAATTAGCTGCTTGCATATCTAAACCTTTGTTAATCAAGAACCAAACTAACGCTAAAAAATGTCAATTCCTTTTCACTAGCTATTGTTGTTATTTCTTTAAAAAAAAAAAAGGAAAAGCAAGTAACTAGAAAAAGAGGAAAGAAAAAGTTCACTATGCAAACCTCAGCATTTGCCAAAAATTTCTTCTGGAGGATCGTAAGCATGCTTTTCCGGAAAGAGCTCCTCAAAATCTTTCTTAACTCTGTTTCTCAAAAGAGGGTGTGGTAGAAGCCCCTTTAATAAAATCCTGAATGGCAACTCCTCTGGTGGATCCGGAGACTTTATCATATCTCATATATGTTCATTGCATCAGCAGGAGATCCATCCCTCAGAAAGCCTCTAATGATCTCGGTGTATGTCTGAGAATCAGGGAACAGATCTTAGTTTCTCATAGATTCCCATAACTTCATTGCTTCATCCATTTTGCCCATCTTGCTAATGCAGTAATCAAGTCCTTATACAAATAGACATCAGGCTTATACCAGTTTTGCTTTTGAATCACCTCGAAAACCTGAAATAACAAGATACAAATATCAAGCAGAAGATATTACAACTCAGAAGCAACCTTATCTACTTTATTAAGGACCAAATTAGATTAATTCTCTTTGTATGTAACACTAACAAGACCTATTCTCATTCTCTAGAACCAGCCATATAGTAGTGCTCTCAGACAAATACCATTTCAGTGGACAAAGCTGAATGATTCTCTTTTATAACTACTAACACGAAAACCCATTAAGATTCTCAATCTAAGTACCCGAAATCAATGCTCTACAAGATATAACATTTCCTTTCAAGCATTTGATCAAGCAAAACAAAAGCAAACTGATTTCACTCTTTATTTCAATAAAAAACACAGAATCCAAAAATTAAGAAAAACCCAATTGAGCAAACATTAAAAAGAATTAACAGCAGTGAAAATGCGAGTACCTTTACAGCCAGAGCAGTCTCCTCTTGGCGTTCAAGCTCTGAAAGAACCGCAATCAAATCCATCTTCAATAGCCTTAAAACATGGGTCTTGATAAATTTCTGAATTTTGTCTTCATCATCCTTAAATCTCTTTACACCCAATATTACAAAAAGAGCTTCTTTCCCAATCGGCTTTTTACCTTTCCAAAGGGGACCCCTCGGCCTCCCATCATGATATTGCTTAAACCCTGAAATGGGTTTATGAGAATCGGGTTATAGAGGTGGAATGAGGGCTAAGACGAAACGGGGACCTCCTTATATGGTTTTTTGTGAGGTTTTGAAGGAGGACTGAAGTTAAAGTTGGGAACTTTGATTTCGAAAAGGCGCGATTAGCCATTAGAGCCGGTAGAATAACAGAATGAGGAGGGCTTTTGGTGAAGAAAAATGCTCCGAAATCCAAGCAAGGGACAAAACGGTGCGTTTTAACTCAATGTAAAGTAAATTATTTGAGGTTAATGATACTTTTTACTAATAAGCCTCCCATCTAGGGTGGGCAAAATCACTTGAACCCGTCGAGTTTCGATTCGACTCAATCTTTTAAGGTCGATTTTTTTTTTTTGAAAATCGGGTATCGGGTCGGGTATAGTTAAAAAAATTTCGTGTTTGGGTCGGGTCGGGTTTTGAGCAAACCCGACCCTACCCGATCCGATATATATAAAAAAATTATTTTTTTAATTTTATATTTAATTATATATATTTTTATATATATTTAATTTTATATTTATATTTAAAATAATATTTTATTAATTTCGGGTAGGATTGGGTCGGATTTGATTTTATACAATATCGGGTCGGGTCGGGTTCGGATATTTCATATTTAAAATCGGGTCTGGTTCGGGGCGAGCAAAAACCCACCCCGACCCGACCCATTGCCATCACTACTCCCATCTAAAAAATAATATTTACAGGAATTGAGTTCCTTCATTCCATGGTGTTTTATGGAAATTGCATATCTTAGATATAAAAATTCGTATATTTATATTTTATAAAATATTAAAATTTATATATTTACATAATATTTTATATAAAAATTATGCATCATAATTTTTATTGATATAAAATATAAAATAAAATAATTTTAATTTTATTAAATTTATATATAATTATTATTAAAATTTTAAATTATGTTATTTTTATATTTTATTTTTGTAATACATTTATATTATATCATCATATCATATTTTAAATTACGAGATCTAATAAAAATTAAATGTTGGTTATAACATAATGGCTTATGCTTAAAATCATCATGGTTAAAAGATTTCAATAGATAAATGAACTAGAATATGTTCAAAACTAGAAAGTGAAATTCATAAAGGAATCATTATTACAATGCATTGAAGACTGACATGATGACAAGCCCACAAGAAATCTAATCAAAGTATCGAACATTGGATCTAATACTAGGATATGTATGTACAACAATTGGACTCCTCACAATATGAGTTCCATCCGACCAGATTAATGTTGTAGACAGCATAGACTCCTTTCTTAAACCTCCACCATTAACAGTCACAGTAAAAGATTTCTTCTCCTTCAATGCCTTGAAGGATAAAACCTCAGGCAGCACTTTAACTTCCAGTTTTGGGTTTCGAGAGACCTTTGCCTTGTAAGTGGAGTTTGGAAGCCCAACATTTTTTACTGTTCTATGAAAACTAACTGTGAAAGAATCGTTAGCTAGAACTGAGACTGTCAGTGAAGGATAATTCAGATCCCTAGGGGGTACATTTTCAGAACTTTTGGGGCAAGAGCTGTTGTCTCCTGAAACTTGTTTAATATTATCTGGGCTGTATCCCAAGCTGCACATCAGTTTTATGTAATCTTCCTTGAAAGCTTCATATACAAGTCCAGGATGAATAGCTTTTACCGGGTTGACATGCCCAGATCCATACGAAATTTCACCACTTGGGTTTTTGGATCTATCCATTGGCCAAGCTACCACCAAAGAAAGATTTGATGTGATAGAAATATAGATTTAGAAAGGCAGATTACTTTTAACCAAGCCAGCTATATTAAAACAGGGATGTGTTCCAAGAAGATTATACCAGTAGTCATGAGAGCAGATTTGATGGCTGTAGGAGACCAATCGGAGTGAAATGTTTTGACATATGCGGCTACACCAGCGACATGAGGGCAAGACATCGAGGTTCCAGACAATACATTATATTTGAGTTGCCTTTTGTCTCCAGGTGTCTCACTGGGCAGAGCAATTGGTGAATATGCTGCTAAGATGTCGACTCCTGGGGCAGTTATATCTGGCTGCGCGGAATGAAGAGCAGTACATGAACAAAATGAAGAAAATATGTGTATAAAAAGAGAGAACTGAGTGTTATAGAAAACGCATGCCTTGAGAATATCTGGCACAATAAAATTTGGCCCAAGTGAAGAGAATTGAGCAACCACCGGAGAATACAAATCTATAATGGTTTCACTACTCAATATTTCTGCTACAGGATTCCTATAACATAAGACATGGAAAGAAAGTCATTCAACCAAGCCTGAAAGGGCTGCAGCCACACCTAAAAATAAATTGTAGCATGCTACATACTTTGTGGAATTCACGTAGGACTTGACCAAAATATAGTTTCTAACGTTTAAAGCAACTGCAGGTAATGGCGTAACAAAAGAAACATTATCATATTGGTCATTTAGCACAATTGACCCTCCAGCACCGGCATTAGCAGCTACAAAATTGCCTACAAATTGATCACACATTGTAATCTTTCCTTTCACTAGATGACTGTCTACACATGATTCAAGACACAACCTGTAAGGGAAACAGCAATGGAACTTTTTGGTTATTTCACTGATTCTTTTATATGGAACAAATGAATCAAAATGTTTGTCAAGTTGAACCAACCCAGCAGAAAGTTCAGAGCAGTTTCTTGAAACATCACGTCCATATACTATAGGCAGCTTTTTTCCCTTGGAAGTGAAGGAATTAACTGAAAACCCCTGTTGGCACAAAGATAATCATTAGAATATTGAGCAAAAATATGTGTTAAGGTGTATCTTTATATCTGCTAGAATCATAAAGCATATGCACAAGTACCCATAGTCTATGGTATTAATAAGAAACACGGTTGAGTTTATGATACTTACAGTTAAGGTCTTTCCATTCCCGAGAACAACCTTGTTAAAGAATTTGCGATCTGTGGTACTTGCTGCTACAGCAAGCATCCATGGTGCTACACTTGACACCCCAAGTACTCCTGCTGCACCATCATTGCCTGCAGAATTTAGGGTAAGTATTCCTTTCTCCATCGCATGAAAAGAACCGATGGCTATGACGTCATTGAAAAAGTCAAACGAATCACTTGCTCCAAGTGACACTGTTAAAATATCAACTCCATCAGCAATAGCATCATCAAAAGCTGCCAAGATGTCCACTGATGCACACCCGCCATCTGGACCACAAACCTTATATGCAGCAATCCTTGCAGAGGGAACCCCTCCTCTTGCAGTACCTTGTGCAAGTCCAAAGAAACTAACATCCTTTACCTCGTTCCCGGCCGCTGTAGATGCAGTATGGCTTCCATGACCTACCTCGTCTCTTGCAGACCCTTTTGAAGATGATGGTGACTGGTAAAACCGAGCGCCAATAATCTTGCTGCAGCATAATGCATGTTCAATAAGATCATATATAGCAATTTAAGCATCAAAATTGTGAAATTATCAGTTAATATTACATGAAAATAAAAGAATTATACAAGCTTCTAAAATCCCTTAATGGAAGAATTTAATAAAGAAATCTGGGGTATGTACTTGTTACAAGTGAAATTTCTGCCACCTCTGCAAGCACCCTTCCATTTTTTAGGAGCTGGACCAAAACCTTCATCACTGAAGCTTGGTGACTCAGGCCAGATTCCACTGTCAATGACACCAATAATGACATTGCTCTCAATGGTAGGATTGTGTCTAACTGTATTATTAAAACCGATAAAATCCCAAGATCTTGTTGTATGAAGGTGGAGAATTCGGTTAGGAAAAATGGAGACTACTTCTTTCATGCCTGCAGATATCATAGTAGTTTTAACTTAAACAGGTCTTACAATCCATTTCAATCATATCCTGTATCAACAACAGCAGTGAAAAGCACATTGCACCACTTACTGGCCAGTTCTTTTGCCTCCTCATCAGTGAGCTTGGCAGCAAATCCATTGAAACTCCTTTTGTAACTTCTGATCAAGGAATCCGCCACAGAACTGACGAGAAAGAGTTTTTTCTTTTAAATAATTTTCAAAAGAATATGGTCAAGTAAGAGTTAAGACTAATCTCTAAGCCAGAAGTAAAATATTACCTGTCCTTGATAACTTGTTGAAGTATACTATGATGGTTAGAAGTTAGTAAATATTCCCCCTCAGGAAGCGATCCCATATAAACAATGTAAGCCTGCATCACCATTATGATCATTATCTTCATCCTATATAATCACAGGTCACCATTCATCACATATAAATCCATTGATAATCTACAAAGATAGTACTTGCCTTTCTATCTTTGTTAGTGGCTATGGATGATAGGCTCATGCCAAGCATGAGGATTAAGGAAATGTCAAGAAACAGCAGGGACCTGTAATTGGCCATTGTTTTCCATGCACAATATTGCAGATGGGCTGATATTTGTTTATATGGGGTTCAGGACATGATCCTGGTATTAAATATCCCAGATTTTCTATGTGAATATCCAACATCTTAAGATCTACAGCCAAGTATTAAGTATATATCCAATGGATGGTTAAGGGAAATTTATGGCCAGTTAAGGAAGGAAATGGCCTTCCATACAAGTAAAAGAAATTCTAAAACGCATGAATATCTTAGAACAGCTAGCTCTCTATCCGAACCTGACCAAGGAGCCAAAATCATCAGGTTATTAAATCAAAGATCTGCTGCTGTAAATGGCCAAAAAATGTCTACAGAAGTACGCATAAATTCGTTTAAATAGCAGTCAATAGTGAAAGTTCGTATAAAGCATAATTTGATTAATTCTGTTACAGCCAAATCCTGTCTTTAACTCCTTTTAACTGTAAGAATTCAACATCCTATATCAAGAGATTCCCCCTTCAGATTTCCATAGGATAAGTATATACATTGGACAAGATATTCCAATCAGATTTTGATGTAACGCCAGGCAATGAAACCAAAGAGCGAGGAGCAGGCAGCAGTTATGAAATAAAGATATGCAGAACCTCGACTACTATTGCTATTTGAGATTATGAAATAAAATCCATGCAAAGCTCCTTTGTTAAGTACAAATCCTAAGTTTTCATGCCCTTATTACATTTTAGAAAAACTAGTTTTTAAATGGCCAAACATGGCCCTCAATTTGTTATACCAGAAATAGTTTTAACTTGTACGATTCTTTCTTGACTTGGCAACATGAACAAGATGCCATTGTCATGAGATTTCACAGGACAATTATACCTGAATCTGATATACCGTTGGATCCAGTACAGACCAATTAGATAGAAAAGGGGAAAAAAATGAAGATGTGTATCTGTATGCATGCATTCCCTGTTTAAAATTCTAGGTTAAGTTGTTCATGATCAAAAGGAAAAACAAATATAGAAACAAGACATGACATACATGTATGACATAGCAAATTAAAATCCAATTAGAACTCTTTCTTTAAAATCAGGTGCATCTGTGGATTAAATCTGTATATTTATTATATGAATCTGAAATTATTTTATCACTAGGATGTTTTATTATCAGGAATTGGTGCTTAAAATCAACTTGGTTAAAAGGTACCACGAGATTCAGGACTCGAAATAAATATTAGAATATGATCAGATTAGAAGTAGAATGTAAATTCATAAAAGAATCATTATTTCAACGCATTGGAGACCGACAAGATGACAATCTGACAAGAAATCTAATTGAAGTTTTAAACATTTAACCTAATGCTAGGATACGTATGTACAACAACTGGACTTCTTACAATATGGGTGCCATCCGACCAGATCAATGTTGTAGACAATATAGACTCCTCTTTTAAACCTCCACCACTAACAGTCACATTAAAAGATTTCTTCTCCTTCAATGCCTTAAAGGAGAGCACCGCCGGAACCACTTCAACTTTAAATTTTGGGTTTGGAGAGACTCGTGCCTTGTAAGTGGAGTTTGCTAGCCCAACATTTTTTACTGTTCTATGAAAACTAACTGTGAAGGACTTGTTTGCTGGAACTGAAGCTGTCAGTGAAGGATAATTCAGATCCCTAGGTGGTACATTTTCAGAACTTTTGGGGCAAGAGCTGTTGTCTCCTGAAACTTGTTTAATATTATCTGGGCTGTATCCCATGCTGCACATCAGTTTTATGTAATCTTTCTTGAAAGCTTCATATACAAGTCCAGGATGAATAGCTTTTACCGGGTTGACATGCCCAGATCCATAAGAAATTTCACCACTTGGGTTTTTGGATCTATCCATTGGCCAAGCTACCGGCAAAGAAAATCTTGGTGAGATAGAAATATAGATTTAGAAAGAAAGATTACTTTTAACCAAGCCAGCTATATTAAAACAGGGATGTGAACCAAGAAGATTATACCAGTAGTCATGAGAGCAGATTTGATGGCTGAAGGAGACCAATCAGAGTGAAATGTTTTGACATATGCGGCTACACCAGCGACATGAGGGCAAGACATTGACGTTCCAGACAAGACACTATATTTGAGTTGCCTTTTGTCTCCAGATGTCTCACTGGGTGGAGCAATTGGTGAATATGCTGCTAAGATGTCGACTCCTGGGGCAGTTATATCTGGCTGTGCAGAAGGAAGAGCAGTACATGAACAAAATGAAATAAGGAAAACATGTGCATAAAAAGAGAGAACTGAGTGTTATTGAAAATGCATACCTTGAGAATATCTGGCGCAATAAAATTTGGCCCAAGCGAAGAGAATTGAGCAACCACCGGGGAATACAAATCTTTAATGGTTTCACCACTCAATATTTCTGCTACAGGATTCCTATAACATAAGATATGGAAATCAAGTCATTCAACCAAGCCTGAAAGGGCTGCAGCCACACCTAAAAATATATTGTAGCATGCTACATACTTTGTGGAATTCACGTAGGACTTGACCAAAATATAGTTTCTAACATTTAAAGCAACTGCAGGTAGTGGCGTAACAAAAGAAACATTATCAAATTGGTCATTTAGCACAATTGACCCTCCAGCACCGGCATCATCAGCTACAAAATTGCCTACAAATTGATCACACATTGTAATCTTTCCTTTCACTAGATGACTGTCTACACATGATTCAAGACACAACCTGTAAGGGAAACAGCAATGGAACTTTTTGGTTATTTCACTGATTCTTTTATATGGAACAAATGAATCAAAATGTTTGTCACGTTGAACCAACCCAGCAGAAAGTTCAGAACAGTTTCTTGAAACATCATTTCCATATACTATAGGCAGCTTTTTTCCCTTGGAAGTGAAGGAATTAACTGAAAACCCCTGTTGGCACAAAGATAATCACTAGGAGCAAAGATAAATGTTAAGGTATCTATTTATATATATATATATATATATATATGCTAGAATCATAAAGCATATGCACAAGCATACATACAAAGTCTATGGTATTCATAAGAAACAAGGTTGAGTTTATGATACTTACAGTTAGAGTCTCGCCATTCCCGAGAACAACCTTGTCAATAAATTTGCGATCTGTGGTACTTGCTGCTACAGCAAGCATCCATGTTGCTACACTTGACACCCTAAGTACTCCTGCTGCACCATCATTGCCTGCAGAATTTAGGGTAAGTATTCCTTTCTCCATTGCATGAAAAGAACCAATGGCTATGACATCATTAAAAAAAACAACTGATCCACTTCCTCCAAGTGACACTGTTAAAATATCAACTCCATCAGCAATAGCATCATCAAAACCTGCCAAGATATCCGCTGAAGCACACGTGCGATCCGGACCACAAACTTTATATGCCGCAATCCTTGCAGAGGGAACCCCTCCTCTTGTAGTACCTTGGGCAAGTCCAAAGAAACTAACATCCTTTACCTCATTCCCTGCTGCTGTAGATGCAGTATGGCTTCCATGACCCACCTCATCTCTTGCAGACCCTCCTGAAGATGTTGATGACTGGTAAAATCGAGCACCAATAATCTTGCTGCAGCACAAAGCATGTTCAGTAAGATCATAGCATTTGAAGCATCAAAATTATGAAATATCAGTTCATATAACATTAAAATAAAAGATAATTATACAAGCTTCTCAAATCCCTGAAGGAAGAATCTAATAAAGTGAGAAATCTGGGATTTTTACTTGTTACAAGTGAAATTTTTGCCACCTCTGCAAGCACCCTTCCATTTTTTAGGAGCAGGACCAAAACCTTCATCACTAAAGCTTGGTGACTCAGGCCAGATTCCGGTGTCAATTACACCAATAATGACATTGCTCTCCATGGTTGGATTGCGTCTAGCAGTATTATTAAAACCCATGAAATCCCAAGATCTTGTTGTATGAAGGTGGAGAATTTGGTTAGGAAAAATGGACAGTACTTCTTTCATGCCTGCATATATCAAGCAGTTTTAACTTAAACAAGTCTTAAAATTCATTTTAAACATAACCTCTATAAAAAAATAAAAATAAATAAAAAAAGCAGCAAAAAGCACATTGCAACACTTACTGGCCAGCTTTTTTACCTCCTCATCAGTGAGCTTGGCAACAAATCCATTGAAACTCCTTTTGTAACTTCTGATCAAGGTATCCGCCGTGGAACTGAAGAGAAAGTTTTTTTTTTTAAATGATATTTTCAAAGATTGTGGTCAAGTAAGAGTTAAAAACTACCTGTCCTTGATAACTTGTTGAAGTATACTACGATGGTTAGAAGTGGGTAAATATTCCCCCACAGGAAGCGATCCCATATAAACAATGTAGGCCTGCATCACCATTGTGATCATTATCTTCATATATAATCACAAATCATCATTCTTCACATATAAATTCATTGTTAAGCTACAAAGATGGTATACTTGCCCTTTCTATCATTGTTGGTTGCTATGATTGATAGGCTCATGCCAACCATTAGGATGAGGAAAATGTCAAGAAACAGCAGGAACCTGTAATTGGCCATTATTTTCTATACATAAAATGGCAGGTTGGTTGATGTTATTTTATATGGGTTTAGGACTGGTATTAAGTATTCCAGATATTCTATGTTAAGATACCAACTCATCTTAAGAGCTACAGACAAGAAATAAGTATATGTCCTTAAGGGGAATTTATGGCCAATTAAGGAATGAAATATCCTTCCATATAAGTAAAAGAAAATTTAAAAATGGATGAATTTCAGGTTTTTCAAAAGCTAGCTCTCCATCCAAAGCTAACAAAGGAGCCAAAATCATCAAATTTACCAAATCAAAGATCTGTAAATAGCCAAAATATGCGTACAAAAGTATGGAAAATTTGTTTAGATAGCAGTCACTTGTGAATGTTCAAATAAATCATAATTTGATTAACTTCCTTGTAGGGAAATCCTGTCTTTAACTCTTTTTAACTGTAATAATTCAAAATCTGATATTAAGTGATTTCCTTTCTTCCTCTGTGTCGACTAGTTTCCTGTAATTACATAACTTCACTAGGAAACGTAGAATATCAGTTTTCATAGGATAAGTACATATACGGGACATGATATTCCAATAAAGACCTGTCAGATTTTTTTGTAATGGCAAGCAATGAAACCAAAGAGTGAGGAACAGGCAGCAGTTATGATATAAAGACAAACACAACATTAATTATGAAGCTATATGAGATTATGAATTAAAATCCATGTAATGCTCCTGTGTAAAGTACAAAGCATGGGTTTTGGTATATTCCTTATTATGTATCTGTAAATTTTTCCCATTGAATGCTTTGCTCCTTGTATATTGACTAATTGCTGAACTTTAATTGCCAGTTTTTCCATTTAAGCCAAGATAACCAAATTCCAGCTTCTGAGTGACCTCAATTCATCTAGAAAAACTGGTTTTTAAATGACCAAACAAGATATAAGTTGTTATCAATTTTTTATACCATAAATAGTTGCAACTTGTAAAAGTCGAAAAAGGAAGATTCTTTCATAACTTATCAACATATACATTCTACTGTCAATTGAGTTTTCACAGGATAAGCATATCTGATATACCATTGGATGCAGTACAGACCAGCCAGATAGAAAAGAAAAAATGAAGATATGTATGCATGCATTTCCTGTTTAAAAAGCCAGGTATGGATGGCCATTCCCTTGAACTTGATCAAAAGGATAAACAAATAAAGAAACAAGACATGACATACATGTATGACATCACAAAGTAAAATCCGATTTAAACTCTTTTATAATCATGTGTGTCCTTGGATTAAGTCTGTATATTTATTATAATATGAATCTGTTTTATCTCTAGGATGTTTCATTAGCTCCATGTAAGTCAATTTAAAATCTTGAATTTTTTATGTACCAAGAAAACAAAATCCTGAACTTGTTGACCCGCCCCCCCATTTGGCCATATTTTTCCCCCTTTGGCCAGTATGGCATTAAAAAGTTTAATGATTTGAACAGGAAGCTGAAGCAACTGCAGTTGCAGAAGCTAGATTATTCTTGCTTAGGGTATAATGTAACATAAACAACCTAATTATCAGGTGATGATTCTAATTCTGTGTATACAATTATAGGGCTATGGACACTATGAATACAATCAGACCAAACGAGTGAGGCTGATGCCACTTTTTCCAGTTCTCTTCCTGAAACAGTCGCAATAAAAGATTTCTTCTCATGCAAGGAACTGAAAGAGAGAATATCAGGCCTTACACTGATGGTGATCTGGTAACTTATGCTGATTTTTGCTTTGTAAATTAAGCTTGGAAAATTTGGAGATGGTTGCACTCTGCATCAGAGGTGGTTCTTCCTACAATTACTTGAATCAGTTAATTGAGCTAATTATATCATTTTGATCACATAACTGGCATTGTTATGGCGAGGCTAGTGTCACATGCCCAATGCAACATATCCTTTTGTATAGTTTGTGACCCCATGTGGTGTGCGGGTAAATTCCCTATAACCTTTCAGAAGCCTTAACCCCACAATCCAAGCAGCAATAAAGCCGCACTGTAGCACAACTGTGTGGAAAGGTTCTAAAAACAAGGTCTGAATGTGCAAGCTTGGCAACACACAGTTGCAAAGATCTTCTATATCCAGGTTCTAGCAGACTTTTAACAGGCTTTAGTGCTAGCAGAGTCCTGGAGCGTTGTATTATAAAGGTCTCTACTATATAACAGGTCTTTTGGTATCCTATGGAAGAAATATGAGGTTACGATAATGCAAGGAAAGATATCAAATTAACTACAATTAGTCCATAAACAGTTGCATTTTAAGATTGTCCTCAAGTTATTTCAGTGTATACTGTATTGTAGCAATGATACATCTTGCAATAACTGCATTCATTTGCCTAGACAAGTCTATGTTCTAAGTCAAAACAATCACATAAGATTATTGTAAATACACCACTATGCAGCGCAGCAGAGAGCTAAAATACATGACACAGATACTCCTCTTGGGCAAGAATACCACCCCGGAGTAATTCTGCAAGGTAGACACAAAAGAGAAAGATGGTAACTTGATAGTGACACTCACAAGAAAATAAAATATTACCAATTCATTGCTAATTAAAAGACAGAAATAAGAAAAAAATCAAAAGAGATAACACATACTTGTGTAGCAAAAAGCTTTAAAATTCTGAACAGAACATCTCACCTAATACGCAAAGAAAGTAATTGGCTAAGTATGGAGATAATTAGCAGCCATCATCAGCTCCAGAGTCAGTTCAGGTTCAATGTGGAACTCGGTATCTTTACCCCTGCCAAAATAGTAACTTTTTTATCAGTCTAAAACGAAAATAGGAAGAACTCATAAACATAACTCATACATAGAAACAGTGGTGATTCAAGCAATCAACAAAAGTAAACAAGTCGGTTGATAGTAATCGCATAAAAAATATGTTTGATAAGTTTGAGAAATTGTATAGTTGTAAAAAAAATCAAATGGCAAAGCAAAAGGATATACCAAACACTCTCTATCTTTTGGCAAGTATCTAATATCTATACTCATCTATGTGGGAGTAAACTATCACATAGGAAGAGAGAACCATGCCCAATGATCCCACACCCACAGCCCATTCCATAATTTCACACCAAAGTGTATTCTAGTTTCATCTAGAACTAGTGCTTATATTCAGATGACAAAAATTTTTCTCAGAGATTCCAACTACAGTTCATGAAACAACCGGAATATTTCAAAAAATGTACCTTGACAAATTCAAGCAGTATTTTTGACAAATTCAACCATAGAGAAACAGTTCTTGAAACCCATTCAAGCATGAAAAAAAATCCAAAAAATTAGCCTGAAACCAAAATTCCTTCTACCTGTTCTATCTTTGCATGAGGCTTGTTAATTCTATACTTGTTCCTCACATACGCCTTACTAAAAAAAGTTTTATCTTATTATTTGAAGATTTTGGTTGGCCTCGCTTCCACTTTCACCTCATTAGGACCATCATTCGCCAATTACTTACCCATCTTGGTGCCTTGAAAAGCTATTACTTGGAACAGTGATATAAATTCTGTTGAACGTTGTTTTACTTTTTCAAGTCTTTCCAACAAATGAATTTAGCAATGAACTAAATGTTTATCCCCCTCTCTTACTCTCTCACTATCTTCTTCAAGGTAAGACTTATTTTGTACGTGTACGCGTGTAAGCAATTATAAACTTCAGACAGAGCCCTCCTAGAGAAACACAACAACCAACATGGGCTTCATTCACATACCGTTTATCAACATATTCACTCTCATAAAGCTACAATTCCAGTTACAACTTCAAATATATCCACAGCATTCATAGAATTCTTTCCAAATGACACAAAACAAAGACTGACTGAAAGAAACAGGTTATAAAACTGAATGAATAATCAAATATAAAAAATCCACAAACCTGGAATATTGAAGAGACCAATAAAAATACTGACAGATCTTCTCAAGAATCACAGCACTTATCTCCGGAAAAGTCACCTCACCATGCTCCGTCTCCGCAAAACCACCTTCATCATCAACCAAAAAACAAAAAAAATTGACATTTCCAATCAAAAACAACTAAGAACCCAGAGAAACCCAGAAACCAAATTTTCCAAAAAGAACGAATAACAAAAGATCGAAGAGATATAAACACCTGGAGAAGTAAGCATGTTACGGATAGTTTGAGAAACCATGGCAGCTTCCTTGTCAATAACAAATTCGATCCCTTCAGCGCTGATGAGTTTCACTGTTTCTTCTTTCTTCATCTTTTTCTCTCTCCGATTATCTGCAATCTGAGTGAGATCGCGAGAGAGTTTGTCAATTGTCGGTGACTTTCCGGTTATCAGGAATTTGGGCTCTAGTTTTTGGGGCCGATGATGACTTATTCGGAAATTGAAACTTCTTCATTCGGTATTAACCGGTTTCTTTTTTGTTTTTTTAACCTTTCCTACATTTATTTTATAGTTTCAGGGGAGTTAGATTTAAAATCCTCTCAGTTGTCGGGCGTGTTTTGCACGTACTAAGATCGTTGGAGGAAGGTGTTTGGTTAGCGGGTTTACTTCTACCTAACTTAGCAGAATCATGGATAGGATAAACTAACTGCTGACTAATTATTCGAATTCGGATCCTTACCAGGTAAAGTAAATATTTTATATATTATTAACGTATGTATAATATCATTTTAATGATAAATAAATATAAATTTTTTAAATGAATATATAAAAATTTAATTTTTTTTATTTTTTATTAATGAGATAACATTATATTATTTTAATGATGATATATAAATTTTATATATTAATAATATATTAAATATAAATTTTTATAATTAATGATTCATAAACGCGAAAATAATCCTACCATTTATGGGTTTAAAATTTTGTTTTTATTTTATATTAAAATTTTTTTCAATAAATTTTTATGTTTTACTTTAAAAAATATATAAGAAAAAAAAAAGCATAATACTACCAACAAGTAATGGAAATCGCAATCATCCAGCACCTTTTATGGTGCCTATCATGTTAGTTCATACTTCATTATTCATTATTATTATGTAATTATATTTATATTAATAATTTGCTTTACTAATTTAGTATCTTCGCATCGGAAATTAACAATATATATATATATATTTTTTTTGGTTTTACATCATGCCAGTATAAGTCAAATTTTAAATTTTAAACTTTATTTTGAATAAATTATTTTAGATTTCAAATAATTTAAATCAATTTAATTTTAAATTTAAACCAATTTAAAATTAAATTTTTATTGATAACATATCAACATAATCAACACAAACAACATATTTAATTATTAAATGGATTAATATTACCAAATTAAAACCGTTTAAGGATTTCATTTTATAAATTATATCCTAAAAATTAAATATCAACTTTTTATCGCATATAAAATTTAATTTTCGTACTTTTATTTATCTAATTTTCTTGAATCAAAGGTGAGAATGGTTTTAATCATTTTATCATTGACTTCAATTTGATATTGATTTGTGATAACTCTAGCTATAGTTGACTTAAAAAAAAAATGGCCTTCCCATGGTAATGAAACTAACTAGTCATTGGAATCATAAGGCAAATTATTAAAACTTCTAATTATGGTGTTAATTTCATAAATTAACACACACATGGATGCATGTGTGTTTGCACATATAAAAATTAACTCCTTGACATACAAGATTAAATAAAAACAAATTTAAAATTATTAATAATAGTATTTTTTATTAATTAATATAATTTTGGTTTTACAAAAAAAATCACAATTTGAACTTTGAAAATAAAAAAATATAATTATAACTATTAAAATTTAAATAGAATTAATCCTCAATTGGCTAAAAAAAAAAAACCTCCATTTAGCATAATTATTTTTTGAATGGCATAAATTTGGTGTAAAATGGTAGTGAGTGCATCTTTCAAAAAAGGATAATTGCATATTGACCTATTAAAAATTAAAGCTCTTTTTTATTTTCCAATCATATGATAGAAGAATCTTGTGCTATTCATCACATGATTAAAATAAAACAAAAAAAAAATTAAGGTAGGGGTATAATGACACAGAAAATTATATTCTACAACCCGTCTTTCAATGTTTGACCAAAAATCATCCAATGAATCGATACATCAGAAATATGAAACCGATCATGATTCAATTGCACGATATTCATAACAGGAAGCAATTGACAAAAAATATTGGAGATTGTAATTCTGACCGCACCAGATTAAAGCTCAAGAAAAGGACAAATGCGGGATGATATATTCATGTGTCACTCCAATCACCCTGCCAGCCTGCTGCTACTCATTTTTTGACCTTTTAAATTTGTCTTTTTCACAAAATTGCCACCCGACCGACACCGTTTTCCGCAAAAAGTCGAAACCGCAATAAAATAGAAAATCTATATATAATCTCGCCCGTTTCAAAAATAAAAATCAGAACCCCCTCCCCCGGCCCCCTTTGCCACTTCCTCTCCAATAGTCATCGTTTTCTCCGTTTCCTCTATTCGATAATTCAATTTTTTATAAATATTTTCGTATAATTTCTCCAAAATTATTGATTTTCCATTTTTGGAATTTTCTCTTCTCGATCTATCCTGTTCGGGTAAGTTCAATCGTTTCCAGATCTCTCTCCCTTTTTTTTTCTTTTCTTTTCTTTTTTTTTCTATTTTGATTGATTGATTTTTAGATCTTCCAGGTTGAGAGAGGAGAGGGGAAAATGGCGCATAGAGTAGATCACGAATACGATTACCTTTTCAAAGATCGTGTTGATCGGCGATTCTGGAGTTGGAAAATCGAATATTCTCTCTAGGTTCACCAGAAACGAGTTTTGTTTGGAATCTAAATCCACTATTGGCGTCGAGTTCGCTACCAGAACTCTCCAGGTTTTTCATCTATTCAATCAACTCCCCTTTGATTCATCTTTATGTATGTGTTTTTTTTTTCTTTTGTTTTTCTGCTGAAAATAAATGGTTCTCGAAGTTTCTGGAATTTTTATCTGATCATTCTCTTCGCCTTTGATATTTTAAAACTGATCTGATTTAGTTTCGGAAAATTTGCATGATTAAGTTGTCTGTGAAATCTTATGCTAATTAATTGGATAATTAGTGTATAAAAAAGTCATCTCAATAATATTATATGACGAATCTGATTGCCTTCTCTTGCACTCTGATTTTAACTTGGAAGTTCATTTTGAATGGTTTATAGTGAGGCTAGAAAAAAAAGATAATCAGATAGTGGTGATCGTTGAAGGCTCTTTCGTTTTAGTTCTTAACACTAAAACCATATAGTTATGTAAGAAATGGTGGAAAGTTGATCAATTCAAAGGGTTTTCTTTTTTCCTGTTTCTGACTATTTTATTTATCAAAGATACTAAGTTGGAAGGATGGGAAGGTTCTTGTCTGTCGGCAGATTATTTTATTGAATTGAAAATTAAGTTATTATATTAATCCAAGCTGTTATTAGGCTGTTCTAGTCTCATTTGTAATGATAGGGAACATCCTGTTTTTTTTTTTTATAGGCCCATGACATAATTGAGTATTTGATTATGAAACAACAACCTTTTCTTGTGTTTGCCAGCTTGTCATATTAGATTTATTGGAACCTTGTTTTGATTCTTTGTTAATTATCAGTCATGGTTATGCAGTTTGGTAAATTGTTGGTTTTGTATTTTGTTATTAATTTCATTGTTTTATATGATATAGGTTGAGGGAAAGACTGTTAAGGCACAGATTTGGGATACGGCTGGTCAGGAGAGATATCGAGCTATCACTAGTGCTTACTACAGAGGAGCTGTTGGTGCACTTCTTGTCTATGACATAACAAAGAGGCAAACCTTTGATAATGTTCAAAGGTGGCTGCGCGAATTGAGGGACCATGCGGATTCTAACATTGTCATCATGATGGCCGGAAATAAATCTGACTTGAATCATCTCAGAGCTGTTTCTGAGGAAGATGGCCATGCTCTGGCTGAGAGGGAAGGTCTTTCATTTCTCGAGACATCAGCGCTGGAAGCAACCAACATCGAGAAGGCATTCCAAACCATATTGAATGAGATCTACCATATCATAAGCAAAAAGGCATTGGCTGCTCAGGAAGCAGCTGCTAATACCACGCTTCCAAGCCAAGGAACCACCATTAACGTTGCTGATGCATCAGGGAACGCTAAGAAAGGATGCTGTTCTACTTAAAAAGGTGATAGGTTATATTTGAGAAGGTATAATATTTGCTAGCATGCAGGCCTTTTCTTTTCTTTTTCTTTTTTTTTTTTTTTCCTTTTTACTTGTCTTTTTATTTTCTCTTCTTTTCCCATCCTTTTTTTTTTTTGGTCAATTTTTGGCTAAGAGAAACACATGTAGAATACGTATTTTTACTTAGTTGTGACAAGGAAGATTGTGATATTTTAAACAACAATGTTGTTAGCAGCATGGAAAGGCCTGCTTTTACTTTGCTCTTTTCTTAACATGTTTCGCTTAAAAGTGGAAGTTGCTATTTGAAACAGAGAAGCATAATTTGTTTTATTTGATCAGCCACTAACTTGTAATAAAAGTGTCTCCATTTTGACTTTTACTCTTCCTATACTTTTCAGTATGGCTGGGTCTGCCAGGACAATGTATGGCTTATTTAAAGTTTCTGGTTGTGATAATTGAAAGGTAAGGATAAGCCTTTGTCTGAATTCAATAGCTGGTTAATCTGGGCCTGTACGTTACCAAACGAGAGATCGAGAAAATTAACTTATTCAAATGGAAATAAAAAAGGTCAACAAAGAAAAGTATAATGTTGGAGGATATTAAAACCGGGAAGATGGTGACTTGGACCTGGTTAGTATCTGCAGGAACAAACAGGGCATAACCATCCCGAACGTGCTGCCCATTGTCTTTGACAGCTGCTAAAGGGGAATAAAACCAAGTAGCCGATAAGCATGCATATTGCAGGACCACACACAAGCCGAGCGTTTCCATGTCATTTGACTCGATAATATATCATTTGTACCAAAGCAACAGCAAGGTTCATGAATTTGGTATAGAACAGTTGGTCGGCAATCTTGGATGTTTTAAATGTGTAGAAAAGAAAATATAAAGGTATCAGTAAAAGACTACTCGATTTGTACAGTTATGTGATGAATTTTGTATGTTTCTTCACAGTAATCCTGGATCTTACCAAGTATTTCATTAGAGCTGACTCCAGGCTCAGCTACTACATGGCAGGACAGTACAAGTTTCCCAACAGTTATAGCCCATACATGGAGGTCATGAATATTTTGGACTCCGTTGATACCCTTGATACCACTTTCCAGCACATCAATATTAATGTCTCTTGGTGTCCTTTCCATCAATATGCCAAAAATATCTCTAAGCATAGGTAGAGTGGTGCTCAGAGCAAAAGTAGAGAAGACAAGGGTGCAGAGAAGATCAACTATCAACCACTTTGGTTTTATCCAAATAACGGATCCGGCAATCATCACCCCAACAGATTGAATTAGGTCAGCCATGACATGCAAGTAAGCTCCTTGTAGATTTATGTTCAAGATCTTGGTCTTCTCTAGACTACTCGGCACCAAACTAGTCTCCTCTTCTTCAGTTAAATCACAAGGTTTCCTCCTCTCGTGGTCATGATGATGATGATGATGATGATGATGGTGGTGGTGGTGATGGTGGTCGTCGTCAATGTCCCCACAAGCATGGTGAGTGTGGTCATGACCCAGCCAAAGGACCATTACTAAGTTGATAATAAATCCAAATGCAGCAATTGCAAACATGAGTGCTCCATTTACCTCTTTCCTTTTGTGGAGAATTCTGTCAAGTGCTTCATAAAATAAGACTGCAGATACAAGCCATATGAGCTGCACAGATAAAAGAGCACCAAGGACTTCAAGACGATTGAATCCAAAAGAATGGTCTGATGTTGGCTTCCATGCTGAAGCCCAGACTGTAAAAAGAGATATGGAGAATCCAGCAACATCAGTGAGCAAGTGGGCTGCATCTGTCATAACTGCAAGGCTGTTGGCTTTCACTCCACCAACAATCTCTACTAACATAACCATAAGGTAGAAAATGATGAGCCCCGAAAGTTTGGTCAGTGACTTCCATCGTTGATTTGATTCCACAATAGTATTTTCTTGCCTGGAAAACGCACAAACAGAGCAGCATGTTGACTGTGGCATTAAAATGACATTATTTCCTTTAGGGAGCATTGTCATTTCAATTTTCTTCTGATCCTTGGATCTCAAAATGGAGACTTCGTCATGTTCCATCTCCCTGGACAGCAGGACCATTAATTAAGTCAAACAAACAAAACAGATGAGAGTAAGACACCTCGTAAAGAAACAATAATTTCAAACAGCCAAATCAGGAGTTCTACGGGTTAGGCTAGAAAAGGCCATGTGTGATAAATTAACTTGCCAAGATCAAGGGCATCAATAAAAGTTTGGAGCAATCACTCAATTCACATGAGTTTGGTGATTTTAAATTAAAAAACAAGGACATAGCTTTTCATTTTTCATGACACAGCAGTAGTTTTTAAATTGGGAGTAGATGGGCAATTTCTCCTGCCTTAAAGCACAACCAAAACTTTAAAATCAACAGGACTGAACAGCCTAAGAATTAATATACAATACATCATCCCATATCTCTTCTAAACGAAAAGGCATATATCATGCTTTACACATGATAGTTCACAAACTAAACTGAAAACGCTACTGATATCAATATCCACCTACAAGGCACAAGGGATCAGCCCGGCAGATCTACTTTCACCCTTCAGATTCTTCAGAAGTCACACCTTTTGAAATATCATAACATATTGATACGACCATGTCTATACTCACCGGGAGAAGCTGTTACTTATTCATCCCTCTTGCCATGTAAAATTTAGTTAAAACATTGCTCCTTTCAACTTCGCAACTCAACATAATAGAACCACTCTGGAGGACCATCTTCTCCTCTTTGTGCAGTCTTCATTATTCAACATAGCTAACCAAAATTCCAAAGGGGAATTGTTGCATATAGTCCTAAATGCTGCCCAAAATTTTCTTGTCTACTCTTGTATGATTTCTGATGCCTCGGAACCTCATTCTTCTCAATAGCAATCATTTATTGAACCCCAAGTCAATGCACAAACCTCAGATAAACCTCAAGCATGAAATTGGTACATTGAAGGCACAAAATTGCTTCATTGACAGTTCAACATTTCAGTATAAAAGCACAAACAGCAGCAGGCCACAAAACTCAGAACCTACTAAATAAAGCTAACACCACATACCTTTACCCATTTCAGGGTAAAGTATTCCTTTTTCAAATACAAGAAAAAAGAAAACACCGTATTTTCACAAGAAATCAAATAACCATTTCAGGAAACCTCAACAGAAACCCAAAACACATAAAAACAACAGCAGAAAAGAGTAAAAAATGACAAATTTACCTGAGAACCAGAGCTGAAGGAAGAATAGAAAAGGGAGAACTTTGAATTTGAATGGAGATCACCTCGTCAATTGGGTTGGGTCAAAGTTTATAAAGGGATAGATATGATATGGGAATCAGCCACTATGATCTAGACAAGGAAACATATCAAGAATTATAATTTGGAGTTTCCCATGTATTTTTTATGAACAAATTTTCACCCCACCAGACGGCAGATTTTGAGCGTTTATCTGTCTTCGTTAAAGACAACTTATTATAAGAAGCGCGTTTACTCTCTTTCAAGAGTTTTCAGTTCCACAGAAGATGGAACGCCGCCGTTTCCTCGGATAGTGTAATTGGCACGCACCCAAAAGCGATTGGAAAGAATTTTGTTGACCAAACTATTGTCACATGTTAAAAATAAAAGAACAAAATAAACAAAAATCAAACTCTGTCTTGGTTTTTATCTTTTGTCTTCTATTTTGTTTTTCAATAAATTAAATTGAGAATATAATTTTTTTATAAAATTTTTAGAATTCAAATTCTTTTAATTTACTTTCATTAAAATTTCTTGTATTACTATGTTCTATTCCTATTACATTTAAATTCACAAATTTAACATAAATTTAAATGGAAAATAAAATTCAAAATATATCAAATTTAAATATGAGAGAAAAATAAATTTCATTGATTTGATATTTAATGTACATGCCTAGCAAATTTGGACAAGCCATCTTAATGCCTTCACCACCCAAACCAAGCTTATGCGTCACTCAGATTTTTTGTTTGGTTGTTGTCCTTGTCGTTTCTAATTGGATAGATTGATGATAGATAGCTCTTGTTAGTTTAATTGGCTTTTCGGTTAACGGCCATAAAGACATCTCCAAACTTCTCCAAATTTTCATCCTTATCACTTAATTATTATGACGATAAAGAAAACAAAAACAGTGGTATTTACCCAAGAAAAATTTGATTCATAGATATAAACAAATAGGCTTCTCCGCCGCACCGGAGTTGCAGTCACCACCGCCTTTAATTTAAAATTTTTAAGTTTTTTTAATCTTTTTTATATATTATTAGTAGGATTATTTTGTTCCACACAAACAATATTAATAAATAAATAAAAAGAACAAAAGAAAAGCCCAGCCACGTTCTTCACCGCCTCTTTTTTTTTAAAAGAACCCAAAATAACACTCAGTTAAAGAAACCCAGAAGAGGGAAACTTGAGTGTTTTTTGTTGGAAAGATTTGATTGTTTGACCAAGTTATGGGATCTGTTTCAATGGACCCTGCCGTTTTGGATGATATAATATGTCGTTTATTGGAGTTTAAGCAAGCGAGGCCAGGGAAGCAAGTGCACCTGATGGAAGGTGAGATCCGTCAGCTTTGCACTGTTGCAAGAGAAATCTTTCTTCAACAGCCTAATCTTCTTGAACTTGAAGCTCCCATCAAGATCTGTGGTACGCCTTTATTTTTGTATATTATTTTTTTTTATTGAAAATACTGGAAATTCATGTCTTGGGTTTTTGGATATCTAGTTTTCCGCTTTGGGTGTTTGAGTTTTGATTGTATAAGGGAAAAATTGAAAACGTTGAAGAAATGTTCTTTTTTTTTTTCTTTGGGAATTTGATTAGATGATGGAAGAGTTAAAATTTTTGAAGGAAATGTTTGTTTTTGCTTTTTGTTTAATTATGTATGTCCTTAGGGGCTGCTGCTGCATTTAATTTGAGGGTATACTTGATTTCTTGCTTAAATTGAATTGATCGAAAATTGATGTTGTTGTTCTTGGTATGGTTGGTTTCTTATCCATATTTTTTTTCTTTTAATTTGAAAAATGAAAGTATGGGATTAATTGCGGTATAGAATAGATAGAAAATGAGGCTGAGTACGTAGTTTCTTAGCTATTGATGGACTCTAGTATGCATAATTGCATATAATCTGAATTTGACTAGAGATTGATGGTGTGAAATTGTAACCGTCTTGATGCATTGCATCTTTTAGATTTTGGTAGGATTTTAATGCTATAGGTGGGGTGGGGGTGGGGGTGGGGGGAGCTACAGTCTAGATATAAGGGTGTTTTAAATTGGGTGAGCTGCTTCTTTTTATCTTAGTTACTTGAGGATGCCGTGGGTTGGCTGGAAAGACTGTTTGGTGGAGAAAAGTCAGCTATTGCAGAGGAATGGATAGGGAAGGCTGAATATTTATGTTAATCATCTACCACTACTCTAAGGATTGTTAATTGTTTAAAGTGGAAACCATTTATTAGTAGCTTTGTAGATGATGGACAAAGAGAAGATCATGTAAATGATAGAACCACATAAAAAGTAACGAGCCCTAGCATTATTGAAGCCTTCATTCCTTCACTATAAGGGAAGCCTTTATCTTAGACTTGCACAATCATGAGGTCTGAGAAAAGAAAATAAGTTAAAAGTTATGTTATCATCGATTTCTTCACTGGAATAATCACTTTTCTTGGGAGGGTTTGAGAAGATTGTTGCTAAGATTTATGCTATAAACATGATAGTTGTCAGGTTTTATCAATTTGGTTGGATGATTAAATTGACGGGCAGGTTTCCCTTTTTGGGAGGACAAAATGGATTAATATATGCCCTTTAAATGAGTTAAAATAACTACTTGGAAGCAAACACCTTATTCAATTACATTTCCTTTATAGAATTTCTGTGCTTTGGAGATTTGTCAATTCTATGCAATAATGCGAATATCCCCCTTGCTAGCTTGATATTTTCCGTTTTTCTCTGTTGCATTTTATTTCTCTATGTTATATGCATGGGGCTTTGTCAATGGCTTCTATAAGAAAACTAATATTGGTTGTTTGATTGAGCAACTATGAAGTTCTTAGATATTGTTAGAAAGCTAAATACAATTTTTATGAAAATCAATGGTGAAGAATCCTTTATAATGTTGTGACAGATTCTATTATAAGTACATAGAACTAAGTGATTGCTCCTCTTTTTTAATTCATTTTAGTCCTAATTTTCTTTAAAAGATTGCTTCCACCATAGTACCAAAAACTGATGAAATAATACTTTTTTGGTACTACTTGGTAATTCCAATTATGAATAGGTAAGGCAACTCACCTAAAGAAATATTGGAAATATGCTGCTGATAGTTCCGCATATTGGAACTATTCATAGTTTTAATTAAACTAACTTCACTTTCAATTTATGTGGAGGTGGCAACTATATCAAAATGGTGAAGTGAAGAAACATGGAATACAGTTTAATTTTTCACATACTATTTTGAACATTATTTCTGGAAATCTATCTTCCTAATTTTGACAATTGGTTTTAACTTTTTAAAAGAAATTTCAATAGTCTGTGTTCTTCTGTTTTTTTTTCTTCCAGGCGACATTCATGGGCAGTACGCTGATCTTCTGCGGCTTTTTGAATATGGGGGTTTCCCTCCTAATGCCAATTATTTATTCCTAGGGGACTATGTTGATCGTGGCAAGCAAAGTCTAGAAACAATATGCCTTTTGCTAGCCTATAAGATCAAATATCCTGAGAACTTCTTTCTTTTGAGAGGGAATCATGAATGTGCTTCTATTAATCGGATATATGGATTTTATGATGAATGCAAACGAAGGTTCAATGTGAGACTTTGGAAAATTTTTACTGATTGTTTTAACTGTCTTCCAGTGGCTGCCCTAATAGATGACAAAATATTGTGCATGCATGGTGGCCTTTCCCCTGATCTAACAAATTTGGATCAAATTAGGAGTCTAACCCGCCCAACTGATGTTCCAGATTCTGGTTTGCTTTGTGATTTACTTTGGTCAGATCCTGGTAGGGATATCAAAGGCTGGGGTATGAATGATCGAGGAGTGTCATTCACCTTTGGCCCAGATAGAGTCTCTGATTTCTTAATGAAAAATGATATGGACCTTGTTTGCCGTGCCCATCAGGTTAGGGTCATTTGCTCTTTTTTTTTCCCCTTCTTTATGTGTATGAGTGTGTAAGCTTAGCAGCTAACAGCTGCTTCTTTCAGGTTGTTGAAGATGGATATGAGTTCTTTGCTGACAGAAAGCTTGTTACAATATTTTCTGCTCCCAATTATTGTGGTGAATTTGATAATGCTGGGGCAATGATGAGTGTTGATGAAAGCTTAATGTGCTCTTTCCAAATTCTTAAGCCAGCAGATAAAAGGTCCAAGTTCATTTGAGGGACATGATGACTGATGCCTCTGTTCCTATTTTGAATTGCCTATGTAAGTTCTAATCCATCACTTTTATTACATAACCTGGTAACCATAGTATGGTTAATGATCTATTTTAGAGAGTTTGAAATGTTGTTCTTTATGTTGGTTGTTGCTGATTTTCATTTGTTTATGTTGAAATTGTTTTAGGGATTGCCATAGTTTCCTCTGATTTGACTCTACCTGAACCAAAATGTTAAAAAGGAAAAACAGTTTTGGTGCAAAGTATTATCACGGACAACTGAGTTCTGCTGGATGGATTCTAATAGACCTGGTTTTTGTAATTTGTGGAACTCTTAGAGACCTCATGAGAGAAACATTGTAATTTATAAAACTGTGCACATAGATAAGTTACGTTCAAGAAACAAAATCACCTATTCATCCAGTCTAGACACAGATTTGAGTTAAATTCATCCTATGGAACAACATTGAATTTTGACTTTGACCTTTGTGCTTTAATTAGCATCATGACTTGCCCTCTATCACTTCTTCTTCTTTGAAACTTTAACTAGTGATTTGAGAAGAAACCCGCATTGAAGTAAGTACTGATTTAGTGGTGAAGCAAAATATGTCAGTGAAGAAAAGCTTCCATAGTTTACCCAAGTACAGAAAATATCATCATTGTAGCATAAGTCGACTCTGTTTTACTTAGTTTTAATGATGATTTTACAATCTCTAGCATGAAACTACCACCTCTGCATCGGTGGTTACTTACTCAATTTTTAATGATGATTAACCCAATGTTATAGGTTAAATGCTGAATTGTTATGTTTTCATGATTTTGGTTTAGAAATTATTTTTTCTGGTTATGGACATGCTGAGAGCCCTTGAGCTTTAATTATATCTGCTCATCCTATTTTGTAGCAGGGAAATGTTAATGGACCCGAAATTTTGTGTTCCTTTCAGTATTTTGTTAACTGTATTATGTAATTCTACCCACAAAGACTTGTCACATAGATCACCTAGATCACAGATTCCTATGCTTACAAGTTGCAAACTGTGTATTTTTATTTCTTATCATCAGCCATCATTTCTTGTGTTTATATACATTTTTTTGGGAATTCTTATAGAATTTTACACATATTTTATGTTGTTTGTCAGTTTATACTATGTCTTAACAAGCATGAAATATTTAGTTAAAACTTGTAAAGGCTTCAAAAGCTGTTTTTATCATTTCTTGTGACTTATCATTTGTCCCATACATCCATGGTAACTTTTATGATTGCTGGTTTCTAACCTTGTAAACTTTTGATTATCTTTCTCATTTGTGAACCTAATTTCTATTTTCGTCTTTGTTGATTCTGACATATTTCTTGCAGTCCACTTGGGATTCGAGAAGCAACCTTCAAAGATTAGGATGCTGGTGTTGGAGCTCCTTGAAGATCTGTGATAAGAGATATAACCATTTCCCTCCACCATGTTAAGGGTACAGGTTATCTGTTTAAAGTATTTATAACCATATGAAATCAAAAGACAAGACGTGGTTGACACTGAGCTCAACCAATGTTTGACACATGGCATCCTTTGATTTTTTTTTTTCCATTTTTTAGTACCAAAGGCATTTTCGATATTTTCTTTTATTTATTTAAAATTTTTTGGCACCTAGGAAGTGAGGAGAGAGAGGGAGAAGAGTTGAAGGAAAGAATGAGGGATTAGGAGAGAAAAGGAAGAAAGAAAAAGAATGTGAAAAAATAATAATAAAAATGGACAATAAAGATAAAACTAAAACACAAAAATTGGGTTAAAGGTAAAAAGAGAAGGAAAAAAAAAAGATTTATTGTTTTCTTATCATTCATTGAATTTTTATTTGTTTCTTAAAAATTATAACTCGTGCTCGTAATATAGAGAAAAACAAAAAAATATTTGTCTATCGTACTGGAAAAAAAATGACCCACTGCAAGGGCCTTTTATGAGTTGTATTCTAGGAGACAACCTTTGAGTATCTTAGGCTATAATAACAAAGGCCACCATTATTATTCTTTTCAATTAAAGATTTACAGGATTTCTGTGAAATATGGATTCCACAGGAGGACTTTCTTAAATCACAAGAGGTTGTTGTAAACTTTGCATGATGAGTTTTGTTGCTTCAATTGAATTGAATAGAAGTTCACAGCCTGTCTGAGCCGGTAATTTGACCCGATTATCAGCTTAATACTATAAGTCAGAAACAGATTCGTTTGACTGCAAATGAAGGTTCTGTTTAGTGTTAATGTCTGCACTTCCCTTATAAAAGAAACTTCATTTTCTTGAATTTTGGATGGGCACAAGGGGTTTCCTTCTTGTAGCTTTTTTTTTCCCTTGAAATGTTGTTTTAGCTTATTTATTGCTCAAATCTGAATGGATTTTGATGAATTTTGTTTCAAAATGAAAAGTTGCCCGAGATAGATTTCTTTGCTTCACTACCTCAAAGCATTTATCTATTTCGGTTCCTTGAACCAAAATTGTGCCAATTGTCTCGTATAATGTCAGCAGATGAACCTCAAACAGACGCCTAGCAGTAAGACAAAGCAAACCATGTTAAAAGAGTCATTCGAATGACTCCCCTTTTTCATATTTAAATGTCGAACTTTGCCTGCGACTAAAATCCAATGCTTTTACTATATTTAGAAAGTTCATGCATTAGCTTTTAACATATGGGGTAAACGTCGAAGCTAATTGACACACCAACAGATCATTTGCTTGTTGGTGGGTAGTATCGCAAGTTCTAGAGGCTATTTATGCACCGAATTTGCCACTCTTCACTGAACCAAAACACTCTTCCATATACTAGAGTGAAGATGCTTGCTTTGCTTGCACAAATATTGCTGCTAGTGCTCGCAGCTCAGAGCAGTGCCCTTTCATTTGCCACCGTTTCCAGTGATCATCCTAGAGATCAAGCTCCTGGCAATGCAGAACATGCCACTGCTCGTGAATCTATACTCTCGAAAAAGGGAATAGACTATGGCCAGTCACCGCCAACGTATAAGTATGCCCCTCCCTCCGGTGGCTATTCCCCACCCTCTCGTGGGTGTCTGCCTCCTCAAAGTCCACCAACTATCCGATATCAGCCACCATCTCAAAGTTATCCACCATCAACTCCAGGCCATCCACCATCCTCTCACGGTTATTCACCACCTATTCATAGGCATCCTCCTCCAAGCCAATACCCACTACCCACTCAACGTGGTCCACCACATAGCCAATACCCTCCACCAACTAGAGGTCATCCACCACCTAGTCGGTATCCTCCACCCACTCAGGGTCAACCACCACCTACTCAAGCCCACGCACCACCACAAAGGTACCGCCACCATCTAGATACCCTATACCTCCACCTACTCAAGGTCATCCACTCCAAGGCAGTACTCGCCCCCACTCGAGGCCATCCACACACCATCTAGATACCTCCACCAACTCAAGGCCATCCACCACCAACTTAAGGTCTATCCTTGATATTCACACCACCCACAAAAGTATCCATCCGCTACTCCGAGGTATCCTCCACCTTCACGAACTCCTCCTAGGTATCCACCACCATCTCAGTACCCTCCACCTTCAGGTGGCTATTCACCCCCATACTTATCCACCACCATACCATAAAGTGTTATCCCCTAACAAGACGGCTCACTGCTCGACGTTGCACCACCTCCAAACAACCCCTAAAGTTTGGGAGTTGGGACTATATATATATATATATATATATATATATATATATATACACACATACACACACATGTAATGAATGAATGTAATCATGTTGCTACTTGTAAATTGTAACTAAAACCCTTTACCATGCTATGAATAATAATATACGTGCTCTAGTAAAACCACTCCCATTACGTACGATATTCTTGTTTGTGGTTGATATGAGAAATTAATATTTACATTCACATATTTTTACATGTTTTGAACATAAGTAAAAGAATAAAACCTTTTCATAGGTGTGACATTCATGGTGTGTGTATATATATATATATATATATATATATATTATAATTGACATGTTATAAGAAGTTTCAAGTTAGTTTCTAGTTAGCCACTAATTCTACTATCCAAAGAATTAATATGAGAAATGCTGGATTGAGTGGGAATAGGAGCTGTAAAAGATGGAAAAGTCAAAAGATAAATCATAAAATTCCGAACCAAAAATCTAACCAACAAAATTATCAAACAAATCTAGTAGTTGGGGAATAAAAACACACTTCTAAGCTTTGTAGTCGGCATAACCTTTGATTTTAAGCCAAAATCTTGCAATTAAACTACGGTAACAAGGAACAACCATATCCATATGTATGATCAAGTTGAAGGGTTTTGACACAAACAGGTAACCAAAACAAAAATGTAACAAAAAATCTTTACCTCATCAACTTGAAGGGTTAGGACACAAAAAGGACGCACTTCACTTTGGGTGAATTGCAAGGTTTCTTCTTCATCATGTACATTGAAGATTTGCTTGATTCCAATCGGCTAAGCTAGATCAAGTTTGGTTGGTTGAGACTTGAGAGATCAGAGAAGTAAAAGATAAAAGACTTGAGCTAGTTGGTTGAGGAGGTTTCTGATAATTTTTAAGCATGGAAAGTCAAAACTTTGTTGTAAATGGAGGGATCAGGATGCCCATTGGCTACAGGTTTCATCCTACAGATGAAGAGCCTGTGGAACTATAAAAACAAGAAGTTGAATAAATTTCAGGCCAAAAGCCCAAAACATGGTGGCATTCGGAAACCCAGCAAAAGGTCAACTAGCTCAAGCCCATGAAACAAAAAAATGAATCCAGAAAATCAAAGCCATCTGGAGGCCCAAGAAGGAAAAGAAAGAAACGAACCAAATCCCATTTCGCAGCTTCAACCTCTAGACCTTTTAGACAGGGAAAACTCTGTTCTCAATCTCATTGGATAGACCAAAGGAGAAAAAAGACATGTTTTTGACATAGTATTGGAGAGGAATATGCAGTTGCATCCGCGCCACTTCGGTCGTAATCTAACGGGAAAACCTCGTATCCAAGCTCATGGAAGATGTTGAGGGCACTTGCAGGTTCTTCTTTTCTTTCGTTTCATTCACAATTTCAACAGGGTTGTGACCAAAAGTCATGTTCTTGCTTGTCTTGGGTTCTGTT